TCTGGGCTTTGATCTTTAGCTTGAGTAGATTACATTTGAGTGTTTATTGTGCTGATCCGTGGGTAACACTGTTTTGACTACTTCTTGAAGGGCTGGTCTTGTCTTGGTGAATTCCCTCAGTCTTTGCTTATCTGAGAATGTCTTGATTTCTCCTTAATATACAAAACTTAGTTTTGCAGGGAATAAGATTCTAGCTGGGATTTTCTGTTCAGAAGAGTGAGAATGGGGCCCCAGTCTCTCCTTGCTTGTAAAGTCTCAGTAAAAATCTGGTGTTATTTGAATGGCTTTCCCTTGTATGTTACTTGCTTCTTTTGTCTTACAGCTCTTAGAAGGCCTCTTTATTGATACTTTGGTCATCTGATGACTGCATGTCGGACGTCTTCCTGTTGCGTTGAATCTCCCAGGGGTCCTCTGAGCTTCTTGAACTTTAATATCAAATTTGAGCAAGGCCTGGAAATTTCCTCTATTTATATCTCCAACAGCTTGTCCAACCCTGAGTGTGTCTTCTTCCCCTTCTTGTAACCCTATGACCCTCACATTAGTTTCTTCACATAATCCCACAGCTCTTGTGGCTTGCTCTTTTCTCTGTTTCTTGTCTATTTCTGTGACTGATTTATTTAATTGGAGGGTGTTCTTCAAGCTCTGAGATCTTTCTTCTGTTGTATCTACCCTGTTCTTGAGACTTTCCATGTATTTGTAGTTCTTTGAATTTTCTCATTCCAGAATTCAGTAACTTTTCTTCATTGTATCGATTCTTTAGTGAACTTTGTTCCAGGTCCTGGAGGCTTTTTTGGTTTCTTTGTGTTGGTTTGAGTTGTTCTTGCAGGTCATTGAATTTCTTATGATCCACATTCGGATCCTCTTCTGTCATTTTGATTTAGTGATTTTGGTTGGTGTCCATTCTAAGGGCTGGTGCTCCTCTTTGGGCATGTGATTTCCGTTTGGTTCTTCATATTTCCGGAGTTCCTCGCTGATTCTTCTATGTCAATCATTGCTGTTCTTTCCTTTAGGTTTTCGTTTATCTCTTTGTTGGGTAAGCCTGCCCTTAGGCACCACCAATGTCATTAGCAGGGGTCAAAGTTCTGTTCTGTGCTTCCAGGAAAAGCTGTCAGGGAGGGGCTAGAATGGCCCCGCTCAGCCAGAGAGTCTATGTGTGGGGGTGGGGCTAAGACCCGCAGTCTGGAGCGGGCCTCGCTTCTTTCCACTTTCAACTCCGCAGCTACTCCTGGGCATCTGCCAGCAGGCCAGACCTCACGCCACCCACTGGGCCTCCCCGAGCTGTGATGCCGGCTGGGAGGTTCCCGGCTGGGAGGTTCCCTGCGCAGGAACGCCACCTGGGCTGGGCACACAGCCTCCCTTTGGGAGGAGGGTTGCCCTCTAGGATGCTGATCTGCCCCTGAAGGCACACACACCTCAGTAGGCTGTTCACGTATATCCCTTGTGTGTCCCGGGCAATGCGAGACCTGGGTGCATGGGATCTGGTCTGCAGGTTTGACCCCTGGATCCCAGAGTTCAAACTATATCCCCACCAGGGAGAGGAGTGCCAATCTCAATTCTCCCATGGGGAGCCCAAGCTGGGTCTATGTCTCTCAGCCTCAGGGCTGCCCCATTCTCCTGGGATCACCGTGCCAGCAGCACCTGGGAGGGCTGGCAGGTAGGGAGCTCACCGTCTGAGTTCCCCTCAGTCAGCTGTAGGGTCCCAAAAGGGAAGGTCCCGTTCCCTGGAGGTGCCCCTGGCTGGTGGCTATATTGTCTCTCTGGGCAGCTGGCAGCCAGGATAGGGTCGGGGGAGGGGAGGAGGAGGCAATATGGCGCCTGCCGCGCGGCTCGGGTCTGTGCACAGGGAAGTGCCCTGCAGGAGTTGGGAGCCTGGTGCCGCATCCGCTACCGGCTTACCGCTCACTGGTGGTGGCCGTCTCTAGGCTGGTGTCCGCAGGTCTCTCCACCCGCTGGGGAGCCCACCAGCAGTCTGAGATGCAAGGGAGGGGAGAGTTAATCTCTGCACTTACCCTTGCCGCTGGTCTCCAGGCTGCTCCGGAGGTCTCTGCTTCCAGTTCTCCTCCGCAACCTCCTCCCGTGGAGTCTCCCGTGGTCTCAGGTACCCCTCCTTCCGGCCCCTATCCGATGTATGCTCGTCTGCTTGCTTCTTTCTTCTAATTTCTGCTAGAATCTGTCTTTTCTGCAGAGACACTCTGTCTGGTGGTGTTTCTCATCTTCCATCTTGATCCGGCTCCCCTGTACCTTATTTTTAAACTGTGACCCCGTGCACACGCTGGGTCATGTGAGGCCCGCAGCTTATATTTGGGTCATCTCAGAGTGGGGGATCAGATGCTGCTGGTCAGTAACACAGTCTCCCGAGCCGGGGCGGGGGGGGGCACGGTCTGTGGGGTTCCAGCATTAAGGTTTGGAGAGAGCCTTTTCCTAGTACCCTTTGCCCACTAGACCCTAAGGGAGCCATAGAAGGTACCCCCAAAAGAAAAGGCAGCTCAGCTTAAATTAGCAGCTGTCTCTGGAGTAAAGTGTGTTCCCCCGCCCAGCTTAGCATTGCTGACCTTGCTGTCAGCAGGTTCTCTGGACAGTGGGGATGAGAGAGGTCTGACTAGGGAGCAGGGACCCAAGGTAGCCTCCCAGGGAAGAAGCCCCTCCAAGGGACACTAGCTACCACTCCCCAGTCTCACTTTTATTCCTGTGACTGTGTTCACCTCGCACACCGCACACTGCTATCTCCCCCCGGCCCCTTATCCGAGGGTGCCTTTCAGGACACTCTGTGACCACTCCCTTTCTCCAATTCGTCAGACCAACAGCCCCTCCCACCTAAGTCATCTTGGAGGCATACGGCCCTCTAAGGGAACAGTTGGCCTGCCCTCTGCCCTGTTCTTGAGTATTCACAGATCCAGCCCCAGAAATCCAGGCTCCCCTGCCTTGAGCCCACGGACCTTCTTCTTGCCCACCCACCAGGGGCCAGGGGACACCTGCTACAGACTTACTCTGTGCCGGGCACGTGAGTCCCTGTGCCCTCACACGAGACCTGGTCAGCGCTCTCCCTGAGGCTTGGAGGAGGGCAGAGGAAACCCCTGACACCTGGACCCCTACACTACAGCTCTGCAGGGGATTTGGGGGAAAGATCCCACCGTACCCACGCTCAAGATCACAAACTCTTTAGCCATTGTCTTCTGGAGCCTGGGACGCTCTATCCCCTGCCTTTGTTCTCACTCACTTCTGTCTTGGCCCGTTTCTGCCCTTACAAAGACTGAGAATGAAAGAGGGAATGTGGAAGACAAGACCAGGCCAGAGCCCGAAGCCCAGGGACATCCCCTCTTGGGTCTCCCAGTGACTAGACTCAAAGGGCTCTCTTTGCCCACTGTGCCCAGGCTACAGGGATCCCCTTGAGTCTGCCCTATCCCCTCAGTGACAGATTATGAAGATATAGACGTAGACACGGAAGCAGAAAGAGAGATAGACACACAAAGGAAACCACAAAGAGAGAGAGTGAAGACAGAAGAAATACACTCAGAAGAAGACAGAAAAAAGAGAGAGAGACAGAGACAAGAGAAATAGAGCTAGAGATAGAGAGAAAAGAAACTGAGAAGGAGAGCCAGGGAGAAAGAGAGAAGGAAGGTACAACCCAAGGGCTAGAAGCGTCCACCTAGAGAAAGGGGTGGGGTCTGGGAGAGGAAGCGGGATCCCCTTCTCTGTGGCTCTGCCCTGATCCTCTAGCTCTGGTGCCCTTAACTTGGAGTTAAGGAAACCTGGATAGGGAAATATATCATTTTCACTAAACTCTAGCTGAAATTTAACATTTCCTTCAGTTATGACAACAGCAACAAACCAGTCAGATTAGCCATAACTATGGCTTTGTCACCAATACAAATCACATATATTTTCATATCCTATTAAAGTACTATAGATCTTTTGAAATATCATTTATGCTCACCACTGTTCAAAATTATGGGAGGTATCAACCCTACCACTAGATCTTATTTAAAGCATTAATAAAGAAGCACATATACTACTATATCACATTAAAAATAGTTTTATAACTGTATTGCAATATAATTGGTTTCCTTTGTAATCCTACATATTTTATTTTATGCATTATAAAACATTATTCTGAGATGGGGCCATAATATTTTATCAGATTGTCAAAAGGGAGCAAGAAAAATGTTCACAACTCCCGCACTTAACCCCTGACCAGGACTCCCAGGACACATTCCTGCGAGCTCCCTGCACCCTGCACTATCTTTTCCTAACCCCCTCTCTTGCTGGGTTAATCTGAGTCCTCCAAGAAGAAGCTGCCAAGGCAGGATGGAACGTGCAAGGATTTGATTAGGGGAAAGGCCTGTGTGAGAGGAAGGGAGCCTGGCTGGGAGAGCTGTGAAAGAGAGAGGAAGGAACAAAGGTTGGGAGGAAGCATCCTAGACTGCCATGCAGGCAGAGGAAAGTACAGCAGGCCATCGGGAAATTCTTGAACCAAAGTCAGCTGTCAGAGGAGTCCCCTGTCTCCCAGCAATGGGCCTGCCTTAGAATCTCTGCAGAGCTCTGTCCTGGCTGGCAGCAGCCCAGTGGGAAGCTGGCCTCAGAGCTGGAGCTGACAGGTTTCAGACAGAAGCAGCTGGGGCCCTTGGTTAATTTCACTTCTTGTAGCTGAAGGTCTGTGGGGAGCTTGGTCTCAGCCATCACTGGTTACCCATCCACAAAAAAGGACCCGGTTATAGGAGTCCAGTCCAGGGCTGTAGGTGAGCTCCGTAATTAAGACATGGGCTTGGAGAGTTGGCTATTTCTAGCTGCAATGCCTTGAGCAAGTTATTTAATGCTCCCTGTCTCCTTATCTGTAAAATAGAGGTGATAAAATTCCCTATTTATAGGCGTATTTGTGAGGATTAATTGAAGCCAGCAAAGCAGTGTTTGCCTAGGGCCTGGGGCAGGTCAGCTCTCAATAATGGTGGCATTATTATGGCCATTTTAATTATTAATTATCATTATCACTCTCTTTCGCAAAGGGAAGGCCCTGGGAAAGTGGGGCTCCAGGAGGCTGAAGATGACCGTCCCTCTCCTAGATGGGGCAGCTGGATGAGGTGGGGACCACTTCCCCACACACCCCTCATCTTCCCCTGAGGCAGGGGTCTTCCCCTAGCTACTGACGGTTCCTGTGTCTGCTGACTCACAGCCAACTTCCTCTCACACAAACAGGAAAACACAGCTGGCCAGCGCCCCTCCACCCCCAACACACACGCGCTAGCACTGGCCCTGCTCTGGGGAGAGTGCTCAGGCTCTGGGGAGCAGGCTCCAGGAAAGATCCAGAACGCAGGGGCAAGAGAGAGGAGCCATTTCTCCTCTCACCCTCAGCCCCACTGTAATTTTAGGGTGGGAGAGTGGGGAGAAGGAGCTTCTCCCAAGAATGGAAACGCTGCTTGCTTGGTTACCGTGCTTGCAGGGCGCCAGCCCTATCCCCCAAAAGGCAGCCCTGAACCTTAGTGTGAAAGTAGGGACCTTCATGCCTCCCAGGCAGCTTAGGCCGGGCCCTCTGGGGAGGGGGAAGCAGATGGGCACTCCGCTCCAGGCCAGATTGCCTGGCTCCAGAGAGGGGCTCCCCCCCCTAGGAAGGCTGTGGCGATCCCCGACTTCTGGATGTCCCGTTTCCTTCCCCATTACAGAGAGTGCCAGGGTCCAGCCACCTGCTGAGCGTGGGAGAGGTGTCCTCGGGGCTTAGCCTCCACCTTCTCCTCCCCTGAGGCTGGACTGGAGCGGATGCAAAGCCATCCTCCGCAGCCCTGTGGCTTTCAGAGTTTCTACCTCCGTGCCAATCTGCGTCCTGGTCTCTGCCTCTCCGTCCCTCTCCCTAAGGCTGTCTCGGCCCCCAACTGTGTTCTCGTCCCCTTCTCGGCCTGCGAGAGGGCAGAGCGGCCTGCGAGAGGGCAGAGCGGGGCAGACCCGGAGATAAGCGTGGCGGTTGGGTAAGGAGCTGAACGCTTTGAAGGTCAGCGCTTGCACAAGGAGTGGCCGGGGCCCCGCGGAGGGAACGGGCGGGCGGGGCGGGGCCGGCCCGTCCTGGGAGGGCTGAGGGGAGGCGGGGCCGGGGCCTCCGGACCGGAGCTTCAGACAGCGCGGCGGGCACCGGGGAGCGGACGGCCATCGCGCCGTGAGGTGAGGACCCCCGCGCCCCCGGGCCCCTGCTTCCCAGACTCCTCCCCATCACCTCCTCGTGGGCCTTCGTGGGCTCCCAGGGCCCCCTCCGCTCCGCGCCCTCCTCCTCCCACTCCCCGCCGACCTGCCCCTCCCTCCAGCTGCCTGGCCTCTGCCCCCTCCCTCCTTGCCCCTCCCAAGTCACAGTCCGAGCTGCCCGCCACTGCCCGGCCCGCCCTCGCCGCTGCTGTCGGGTGCGAGCACCTCCTGGCTCCCAGTCCCGTGCCCTCGGGCCGGGCCTGAGTCACCGGGAAGCCGGCCCTGAGTCAGGCCCTGAGGCTCAGCACCCGCGTCCTGGCTTGGGGATGGGGCTCAGCCGGAGAGAGGCAGAAGGAGGCCAGAAACGGATGCGGGGACGGAGAGGGAGTCCTGGTCAGGGACCGAGGACCAGAGCAACGGGGAGAAAGCTGTGAAGGCAGATGCGGAGAGACAGGCACCTCAGGGTCAGAGGTAGCCAGAGACACACGTACAACTTAAGACCTAGTTACGATAGAATTGGAGACTGAGGCAAGGACAGGCTAATGACAGAGCAAAATGGGGTGGGACAGGAGAGGGGCGAAGATGGATTTAGAGGCAGAGATGGAGTGGGGCAGGGATAGGGACAGAGCGGAGACAAAACTCAGGGGAGGCAGAATGGGGTCCAGGGAATAGACCGTGGTCAGGGTCAGGGTGGCCAAATGGGACAGAGCACGGAGGCCTGAGCCCAGGGGAATGGGCAGGGAAAAGGCAGGCTCAGAAAAGGAAGGCTTGGAGAAAGCAGAGGTGGAGGACGTCATTTCACGCTGCTCAGTCCCTCCATGGTGTGCGCACGCGCCGCTTGTGAACATGTTGCCGGTCAGTGGAGAGTCGAGGAGACCCTTGAGTAACCCTGGCCTGCGGCCCCTCATCCATCTAGGCCCATCCTATTCCCAAGTGGCCTCTACCCAGACCAGGATCCCACAGGCCAGGGCTGGTTAGGGCTCTCTGGGCAGCCTGACCAAGGCAGGCAGGATGTGGGGGCGGCCAGGGCTGAAGGGACAGGAAGGAAGTCTGAGCAGAGACAATAGGTGGAAGGGGAGGAGGAAGTGGGAGCCAGCAGGATTGGGATAGCAAGCCTGCACCTCAGCCCTGCAAACCAGTAGGAATGGGGTCTGCGTCTCCCTCCTACCTAGCCTGCCCCTCTCCCCGCCTCATGCCCAGGCTAGACCTGGCCACACCGTTGGCCCCTCCTCCTGCCCTCCTACCTCACCCGCAGGGTTCCAGCATCTAGTCCACGCTACTCAGTTGGCTGTGCACTAAGGCAGGGGCAGGGCATTAACCCAGACCCAGGGTGGACAGGATCTTGGAGGTCAACCCTAGCACAATTCGCTGTGAGCCTGGGGCAAGACCCTTCCCCTCTCTGGGCCTCATTTTCTCAACTGCAAATGAAGAGACTCTTCTGTGATGAGAGAGCCCTTTCTGATGTTCTGGGATGGTTCTGCCCCTGATCACAGGCCCTTGGGCATTTTTCTTTGGAGGAAGACTGGAGGCTGGTCCTCCTTTCCAGGCCTCAGACTTTGGGGCAGGGAGGGGGAATCAAAGCCTGAGCCCTCCCTTCACCCTGCCTCTCCCCCCAGCAATGGCTTGAGCCCCCATGGCTGCCCCTCAGGACCTGGACATCGCTGTGTGGCTGGCTACGGTGCACCTGGAGCAGTATGCAGACGCGTTCCGGAGGCACGGCTTGGCTACAGCGGGTGCAGCGCAGGGCCTGGGCCACGAGGAGCTGAGGCAGTTGGGCATCAGTGCCACAGGGCACCGGAAACGCATTCTGCGCCTGCTGCAGACAGGCACAGCAGAGGGCTCCCTGGATCTCAAATCGAACAGTGTCATGGAGCCATCCCCCATCCCAGTGTCCCAAGCCCAGCCCTCCAAGCCCGTGCCTAAGCCCAGGACGGTGTTTGGTGGGCTCAGCAGCCTTGCCACCACCCAGAGGCCCAGGCTGAGCCCAGAGTCCAGCCCACGGTCCCCCCCTCTCCCCACCTCCTCCTCTGAGCAACCTTCAATGCCGAATACTGTGGAGATGATGCCCAATGCCATCTACTTCGGCCTGGACTTAAGAGGCGGGGCACCTACAGCTCAGGACACGTGAGTAGGGTCGCCCCAGTATCAGGAATCTGATACTGGGGGGAGGGGGAGGAGGGACAAGGGACAGGGGAGCAGGCTTATGCTTCACTCTCTTAGTAATCAAGAGACCTTTTCCCTCAGGGCCCCAGACAATTCCCAGACAGCAGTCCCCACGCCTGCCCTCAGGCCCTCAACAGGCACAGGTAGGTGGGCTCAGGGGTTGGAGGGAGAGGGATAATGCTCTCAGGACCTCAGACATTCCTTCCTGATCTCTTCCCTCTGCCTCTCTTCCTCCTGCCAGTGCACATCATGGATCCTGGCTGCCTGTACTACGGCGTCCAGCCCGTGGGGGTTCCGGCGGCCCCCGACAGAAAAGAGGGCAGAAGTGCCTGTCAGGACAGGGCTGAGCACAGGTAAGTGAGCACTCAGCAGGGTGCTGATGGAAAGAAGAGGGAACTACAACAGCCTGGTGCCACCCTCAGGCAGCTGTGACTCAGTGGGACAGACAGGAAATAAAACAAGTGGACAAAATAATGGATATATAATGACACATTGGGAGATATGCTTTTCATTCTTTCATTCGACGACTATTTTTTTTTTTTTTTGAGACAGAGTCTCAAAAACTCTGTTGCCCTGGCTAGAGTGCCGTGGCGTCAGCCTAGCTCACAGCAACCTCAAACTCCTGGACTCAGGCGATCCTCCTGCTTCAGCCTCCCCAGTAGCTGGGACTACAGGCATGCGCCACCATGCCTGGCTAATTTTTTCTATATATATTTTTAGTTGGCAAATTAATTTCTTTGTATTTTTAGTAGAGAGGGGGTCTTGCTCTTGGTTAGGCTGGTTTTGAACTCCTGACCTCAAGCGATCTGCCTGCTTTGGCGTCCCAGAGTACTAGGATTACAGCGTGAGCCACCTCGCCCGGCCTCATTCGACAACTATTATTGAGCAGCTATCACATGCCAGATGTAGATGCTTGGGATAGATCAATATACATAGAAATCCTTGCCCTGGTGGGGAGATAGTTAACAATAAACATAATAAGTTATACATTGTAGCATATTAAAAGGTATTAAGTCCCATGGAAAAAACAGAGCAGGGTAAGAGGGCTTGGGGGCAATATGGGGTGACTGTAATTTTCATTAAGAGTCATTGGAGCATTAAGAAGATGACATTTGATCAAAAACTTGAAGGAAGTAAGGGAGTTAGCCATGAAGATATTTGGGGGAAGAGTGTCCCAGGCAGGGAGAGTGGGCAGAATAGAGGCCTCAAGGAGAGCTTGTGCCCAAGGGGGATCCAGGAACAATGAGGAGGCCAGGTGGCTTGGCTGGGGCAGATGGGCCGGGGTTGGAGGAGTGGTAGGAGGTGAGGTCAGAGAGGTGAAAGGACCTTGTAGGGACTTTCACTTTTACTCTAAGTGAAATGGGAAGGCATTGGAGGGGATTTGACTGATAGAAGGATTCTTCTGGCTACTGTGTTGGAAGTGGTCTGTAGGGGCAAGGGCAGAAGCAGAGAGACCAGTTGGGAGTTCACTGCTGCAATCGAGGTGAGAGATCTGAGTACACTGATGGTAGTGGAGACGAGACGTAGCTGTATTTTGAAGGCAAATTGTCAAATTAATGTGGGACATGAGAGAAAAAGAGCAGTCAAGGAAGACTTTGAGGGCTTCAGTCTGAATCTGTATGGTAGCCATTGGCCACACGTAACTACTGAGCATATATCTTAGTAATTTTTACATGGTTTACATACCAGAATGTAAATGTTTTGGATATATTAAGTTAAATAAAATATATTTATTAGAATTAATTTTACTCGTTTCAATTTTTTTTAATGTGACTAGTAGAAAATTTAAAATTACATATGTGATTCACTTTGACTTCTCTGTTGGACAGCACTGTTCTGAGCTGTGGGCTGAGCTGGAGAAGACTGTGCACAAAGCAGATCATGAGTTCAGCTCTAGACATGTTAAAATTTTTTTTTTTTTGAGAAGAGTCTCACTCTGTCACTCTGGCTGTAGTGCAGTGGCGTCATCATAGCTCACTGCAACCTCAAACTTCTGGGCTCCAGTGATCCTCCTGCCTCAGCCTCCTGAGTAGCTGGGACTATAGGCATGCACAACCACACCCGGCTAATTTTTCTGTTTTTAGTGGAGATGGGGTCTCACTCTTGCTCAGGATGGTCTCAAACTTGTGACCTCAAGCGATCTTCCTGCCTTGGCACCCCCAGAGTGCTAGGATTACAGGTGTGAGCCACCGCACCCAACCATGTTGAATTTGAGGTGTATTGTTATACATCTGGGAAGAGGTGATGAGCAGACTCATCTAGAGTTTGGATGAGAGATCTGAGCTGGAGATCCAGATTTGGGAGTTGTCAGCATTTAGATGGGTGTATATAGCTGTGAGTGCAGATAAAGAGGACTGAGGTCAGAGCCCTGGTGCACTTTATTTGGGAGAACAGGAAGAATCAGCATAAACAGATGGAAAAGCATGGCTAATGTAGTGGAAAGGAAACCAGGAGAACGTGATATCATAGGAGCCATGTGAAGAAAGTCTGTGAGGAGGAGGGAGAGGCCAACTGTGTCATGTGCTGCTGAGACGTCTGCTGCTAAGATGGGACTGAGAATTGACCCCTGGATT